AAAATAAAAAAAAAAAAAAAAAAAAGAATAATAGAGAAAATAAATAAATGAAAAAAAAAAAGGTGAAAGGAGATTAAGCAAAACCACCATGTTTTTCCCCCTTACACGCAAGCATCCCAATACTTTTTTTTTTTTTTTCCTTTTTTCTTTTCTTTTAAAGATTTTTATTTAAAAAACAAACATGTATTGTAATTTTTCTAAATGCATTTTATTTTATATGCTCGCTAGAACGCTAGAAGATTAATCATGTAAAAACTTAAAAATTTTAATTACAAATTATTTATATAGTTTAACAATTTTAATTACAAATTATTTATTAGTTTTTTGCTTTTGGTCAAAATAAAAAAACAATACAATTTAATGGCTAATTTGTGGAACCTTGGTTATGACAAATATTAACAAGGAATAATAATTATTATTTTTAATACCAAAAAAAAAACTGACTGGTTTGGGTAGGGGCCGCGCGAACGCAGGCCCCCGCTGCCACAAATAATGACGTAGGCTCTGCCACTTTGGACAGACCTTAGGCGAGCACCCCTCCGAAGTGCAATGGAGGTCACTAACCTAGGCCATGGGCCTTCATGATCGCCCAAAGACCCCGTCCAGGTAAGTATGTATAAATGGGCCAGTTGCTTACCTTTTATATCCATTCGTCCATTTCTTCTTCTCGCTTCTTCCGATGTGGGACTGGTATTCCACTTTTTGTTCTTTTTCTTGAAAATGCCTTTTTTCCTCTCTTACTTTCGGCAAATATATAAATTTCGTTCGGATTTTTAAACAAAACAAAACTCTACCATTCAATTGGTAGAGGGATTCCGTGACTTAAATGTACAACTTCAATTATAAAATTATTAATTATCCTTATTTATATTTAAATATTATTAGTTGTTATAATACAAAACAGTAACGTTTCACCCCTATTGTCTTCTTTGAGTTTTAAATTTTAAGTTTCCCCTCAAGGCTTTAAAACGTGTCTACTAGGCTAGGAAAGGTTTCTACACCTTTATAAATGGTGTTTTGTTCTCCTCCCCAATCAACGTGGGACATCACAAATGATATCAGAGCCAGACACAGGGCAGTGTGCCAGCCTTCTCACTGTTCTCCAAAGAGGGGTAGACACGAGGCGATGTGCCAATAAGAACGCTGGGCCCCGAAGGGGGTGAATTTGGTGGTAGTCCCACATCGATTGGAAGAAGGAAAGGGTGCCAACGAGAACAAAGGGAGGTGAATTGTGATGTCTCAAATTGGTTGGGGAGGAGGACGCCTTCCCTTAGACGCGTTTTAAAACCTTGAAGGAAGATCGAAGTGTTTTAAAACCTTTTAAAACCTTGAAGGAAGCTCGAAAGTAAAAGCGTTAGACTTGTTTTATTTTTCATTTATTTTTTAAAAAGAGAAACATATTAGAAAATAAGTAGTTTAGATAATGATAAAAAGAATAATAAAAAACAAATTAATAAGCTTTTAAAATTATTATTTTGCTTCTTTTATAATCACTAAAAAAAAAGAACAACAATCCCGTGAGGACCCCAATTGGTAGAAAATAGCCCACAACCCCTAAAAGTTAAAATGTTGGAGGGTAAAAATTATTATGGTAGAGAAGTAGGGGACCGACGTGATTAACAGATTTTAACTCGTATTGGCTAGGGGCCGCGCGAACGCAGGCCCCCACTACCACAAATTATGACGTAGGCTCTGCCACATTGGACAGACCTTAGGCGAGCACCCCTCCGAAGTGCAATGGAGGTCACTAACCTAGGCCATGGGTCTTCATGATCGCCCAAAAACCCCGTCCAGGTAAGTATGTTGTAACGTAACCAGTGGCTCGGTTTTTATATCCGTCCGTCCGTTTCTCCTCTTCATTTCTTTCGATGTGGGACTGATAAATTTCCCACAATTCCATTGAGACCTTCGCAAAATATTATATAATTTCGTTGGGATTTTTAAACCAAAACAAAAGATTAATTGTTCTTAAATATCCAACTTCAATTAAAAAATTTATATACTTATTAAGTATCGATTCTGCTCTATGGTAGTTTTTTATATATTTATATTTCTACGTTTGTATTTAAATATTATTTGATAATAATTTAGTTTTTTTTAATAATTGAGAACATATTTGTTTTATTTATCAATTGAATTTTTAACCAAATTTTAACCATAAAAATGTTTTTTTTGTTCAATATTTTTTGAAATTATTATTTTTGTCGTTCATGACTTAATACAAAATTTCATCGAATGGTATCTAATAGGGCTATTACACTTATAAAGTTGTTATTAGACAATTAAGGGGCTATCTGACCCCTATTCATAATCGATCACCGAAATTTTTGAGTTCTAAAATTTGAGAATTCGAATTAAGTTTGTTTGAACCATGAAAATCATATTACTTTATTTGTAGTGCAAAATAAAAAAAGCATAAACAGAGTATCGACAGTGACTAAATAAATATTGTTCGTTTTGGCCCGTTACATTTCGTTGTCAGTTTCATGATTTTTAATACGCGTCTATTAAGAAGAGATTTTCACACCTTCTGGAGGCTCATATCAACTCGAATAGGCTCTTTTTAAGAAGATAATTCAAAAAATAAATTTACATACAATTATGCATATATTTTTAAATTTTGATCAAAACTCTTCTTCCATTTATATTAAAAAAACTATTAAAAAATCACATTGTTACCACTAACTTCCTCAAATATAGTAACATTTCAAAATTTATAATTTCATGTTAAGAAAAATTATACGAATAACCGAAAAACTAAGTTACAAGTAGTTTATACCACAAATTTAAACTAGGCCTGAATAGGGGCCGCGCGAACGCAGGCCCCCACTGCCACAAATTATGACGTAGGTTCTGTCTCATTGGACAGACCTTAGGCGAGCACCCCTCCAAAGTGCAATGGAGGTCACTAACCTAGGCCATGAGCCTCCATGATCGCCCAAACACCCCGTCCAGGTAAGTATGTTATTATGTGGCCCATTGCTTTCATTTTATACTCATTCGCCCATTTCTTCTTCAGAATTCTGTCGATGTGGGACAAACAAACTTTGAAACTAATCCTTTTTTCTATACAACACATTTTCCTTGGAATTTTAAAGCAACTCTCTCAATACACACTTCATTGAAAAAGAAAACTATATAAATTCCAATTTTATTATTTTTTAACTTTCTAATTTTTTAATAAGGTGTGGAGACTTTACAATTTAACGATCCATTTCTACCATCTTTAAATGTTGGGTGTGGGGACTTAATCACCGAGTTATATTCATATTGGAGATACCCGACCCAGTTTCTACCTCCTTGTGGGGGTAAGTAAGATATGAGGACTTAATCACGAGATACTATTTGATGACTCGATTGATTTCTAGTGTATAAATTGTGGGGACATCATAGCGAGATACCATATAATGTCCTCCAAGGCAACCATCAACGAAAAAGACAAAGACTTAGGTCATAGCTACACTCAATGACCCAAGTGGGTCCGAAAAAGAGAAGCAAACCCAGCCAAAGTCGAGGCCATACCTAGTCCATAAGGTTTGAGGATTAGCTCGATTTAGTCCTAAAATCCCATATAAATACATCATTGTGACTTAGTCAACTAGAACATAACTCAATTGATTAAGATATATATTTTCCACTAAAATATACGAGATTTGAATGTTGACCTTAATGTTAGCGAAATCAAGACCAAAATAGTATTAAAAATAGTATATTAAAGTACATCGAAACATACACCAAATGTATACATCAAAACATTACTAAAGCTTTATATTCATACATATATATATATATATATCTAAGTCTGTGACCATATTATATACTATATATATTATACATATACTATGAAACACATGATATTTCTGATTATTTATTTATAAGCTAAGGTAGTGGTAAAAGAGTCCATATTGGTGATGGATTCTTTTGCCTCTTAGTTGGGGATGAGCTTGAAAGGAGGCTTCACAAAAGATGGAGATGGATCATATCTTCCATAGTCTTTGGTGTTTACCCTCAAAAGCCTTTCATGGACGTCCTCCATTTCATCTCGTGTCGTCCTCTTTCGACCCTGATGATCAAGTTCAAAGTTTTATCGAAGTTAGTTAGGGTTTGGGTCATCTCATAAACATAGGGTTTTTGAAATTTAAGCTTATAAACACGGCTTCTACGATACGAGTATATACAAATTGGGTTGGAGAAATTTTTTGGATCAACCCAAAATTTCGAGTTGGTTGACTTGATAGACCATAAAAACTCGAATAGAGCTCACAATCGAACCCAACTCAACTCGTTGGGTTGGGTTGACCTAACCAAAATAATGTCAATTCGTGAAATTACTCGAATTTTTTCAGTTTTCCAAAAATCCAATCAAACCCAAATCGAAAAAGAAGAAATCTAACCAAATCCAACCTTCAGTTTAAGTTGGTCATGTTCTCGAGTCATATGAACACCCTTACCTACTACCAAGTTTCATTTTTATTATCCACCTTATATCAATGTTTTCATAAAACCACGTTCGATCTTAAAATCTAAAAAGATATAGTTTTTGTCTTTAAATTTTGATTAAAAATTTAGATGTGTTTCTACCCCAATCTAAAACAACAAAAATATTGACAAAAAGAGGCCTGTTGAACGTTAGGGTTTCTATAATCGAGCGAGAGACTTACTACTCAGACTTCAAACCTACCCGTTTCAAAACATCCATTTTTCAAGTCATACCGTTAATCTAACTTACACCTACACGGTATAATTTTGGTTATTCATAACAAAATAGACCAAATTATCACAAATAAGTTTCATACAACTTTCAACCATCTACACGAACACAACTATTTCATTACGAGTCACTCAAGTGGGATACCCAAACAATTAAACTTTGGATTTAATATAAATACAAACCTCATGCACAACACCATTAACAACCTCATGAACCAGCTTAGAAGGTCGACCTGCACAAGGAAAAAAAAAAAAAACGAAAAAGTGCTTATAAAGAAATTACTTTTACTTTTTACATTTAAAAATCAGTAATTTTTTTATAAAAAGAACAGACCTTATTTCTCTCCTTAATTTACACGAATAACATATACTACGCATGCAAATAAGATTCTCTTTAGCTGTCGGAAACAACATGTTTGAATAAAATTTTGAAAAATAGATAAAAATAATATGGATCGTGAAGTAGCTTTTAAAAATGGTCGATACACTTTCGATTAACACCTCGAGTTGGTTTGGATTTAGAAAGTGTATAACGTGACATATTTGAGAGCGATTTTGATAAATAATTGAAATTAGTCTTGCCATATTCAAAATGTAACCGTCCAAGTCTACTACTAGTAAATATTGTCTGTTTTTGCCCGTTATGTATCGTCATTAGCTTCATAGTTTTAAAACGTTACTAGGGAGAGATTTTCACACTCTTATAAGAAATGTTTTGTTCCCCTTTCCAACTAATGTGGGATCTCACAATCCACTCATATTGGCGTACCGCGCAGTGTCTAGCTCTGATATCATTTGTAACAGCTCAACCGTACCGCTAGTAGATAAGAGTGTGGAAACCTCTCAATAGGAGATGTGTTTTCAAACTGTGAGGCTAATGTTAATACATAACGAGTTAAAACAGACAATATCTACTAGCCGTGGATTTTGACTGTAAACACAAAATCCCTTTTGAAACATGTACGATTTAGAAATCTTTGAAAATAAACGAAAACGTTGAAAACCCACATGCAGTGTAAATGGTGGATAAAAACAGGGTCAAGTTCACAATGAAACACGTACGACTTAGAAACCTTCAACACTTTCAAAATAAATGAAAACATCGAAAACCCACCTGCAATACAGATGGTGGATAAAAACGAGGTCGAGTTCAAAACGAAACATGTACAATTACAAAATCTCTGACACTTTCAAATAAGCAAAAGCATCGAAAAACCCACCTGCAATGCAAATAGTGGAGAAAAACGAGGTCAAGAGGAGGAAGAAGAAGACGACGACGAAGCCGAGCTTATACTTGAAAAACATGATTCCCAAGTATGATAGAAACAACCTTAATGATGGTCTTTCTTCTTGTTCTTGTTTTTCCAAAGAGCATAGAACCAAATGATGCTTCCTCTTATGTATGACTTATAGATAAGCTAAATTTTGGTTATTAATTATAAATTATTATTATTATTATTTATTTAATAAATTACTTTAATGCTTTTTTAATTTAAAATTTAAATGAAAAAGGGAGAAAGAGACCACTTTTCTTTTGTTGGGGCACTAAGTCTAAACAAGCTTTAGTGGATTTTTATGATATATAATTGGGATTAGCGTCCACGTGAAATTACCTAATTACCCTTCAATTTTCTTTTTTTGAAAAAAATATTTAAAATTTATGGATTGGACTAAATTAATGTGAATTTTTTTTCAATGAAAATAGTAATTTAAAAAAATTAAAAATTAAGTAATTAAATAGGAGATTTTAAAAATGTTTTTTTAAGGATAAATTATAGTGAATTTAAACCAAATTAAAAGAAAAAAAAGTTTTTAAAACTATTTTTTATAAAAACTTGAATTTTGAAAAAAAAAAACTCACGACCCATTTGATAAATATTTATTTATTTACCAAAGTAGGTAATAAAATAAAATAAACTATAAGTAGAAATAATAATTATAAATTTAATTTTCAAATTCACTTTTACCCAAATTTCAAATTTACTTTGTGGTATTTAACCAAAACAGTTATATAACAAAAAAAAAAGTAAAAAAAGAATTAATGACTGTTTTACTTTGTGGTAAAAAAAAATTGGCAAAACCCCCTTGGGATTTGGAAATATTCTTTGACATATTGAAGGAAGAAACAAAGAAATAAAAAATAATGAGATATTGGATGTGTAATTAAAAGGGAATATAAGGACTGAAATGGAAAAGTTTTGGGTCTTTTTTGCAATTTCCCATAAGTGGATTACATAATTAAATAAGCAAGTGCCTTAAAAAGGAGGGGAGGAGTTAGGTTGGGGTATAAAGTAAGTTTACGTGGAAATAATAGGGCCATTATTATAAATCCTTAAAAGACAAGGACTACACACCAAATACCACTAAAAATGACCCACATAATTGCATCAATGGAGAATAAAGAGACTCTTAGATTTTACCACTAAAATAATACCTATCTTCCCATATTTACCTTTAAGTATTGCTTTTAATCTTTCGAGTGAAGAATTTGATTGTGGGATTCCATGTCGGTTGAAGAGGGGAATGAAATGTTTTTTATAACCGTGTAAAGAATGTGATTGTGACATCTCACGTCGATTGAAGAGGGGAACGAAACGTTTTTTATAACAGTATAAAGAATTTGATTGTGAGATCCCATGTCGGTTGAAGAGGGGAACAAAACGTTTTTTATAACAGTATAAAGAATCTGATTGTGAGATTTCACATCGGTTGAAGAGGGAAACAAAACATTTTTTTTATAACAGTGCAAAAAATCTGATTGTGAGATCCCACGTCGGTTGAAGGAGGGGAATGAAACATTTTTTTATAACAGTGCAAAGAATGTGATTGTGAGATCCTGCGTCCGCTAAAAAGGGGAATGAAACATTTTTTATAACTGTGCAACGAATCCTGATTGTGAGATCCCACGTCGGTTGAAGATGGGAACGAAACATTTTTTTTATAACAGTGCAAAGAATTTGATTCTGAGATCCCACGTCGGTTGAACAGGGGAACAGAACATTTTATACAACAGTGTAAAAAATCTGATTGTGAGATCTCACATCGGTTGAAGAGGGGAACGAAACGTTTTTTATAACAGTGCAAAGAATCTGATTGTGAGATCCCAGTTGAAAATGGGAACCGAACATTTTTTTTATAACAATGCAAAGAATCTGATTGTGAGATTCCACGTCGGTTGAGTATGAGAACGAAGCATTTTTTATAGCAGTGTGAAAACCTCTCCCTAGTAGATGCGTTTTAAAAATCGTGAGTCTGACGTCAATACGTAACGGACCAAAGTAGACAATATTTACTACCGTTGGGCTTTGAATATTATATTGATAACCTAAAAAATTGGATCAACTCAACCCAATCCGTATAGTTTGGGTTAGATTATGAACTTATTTTGATTGAGTTTGGTTTATATGAGTAAAAATTTTATGTATTGAGTTGGTTAATGAGCTCGTTGAGTTTGACTGAACTAACATAATTTATTTTTAATTTTCAATTTATATTTTTGTTTTATAAATATTTTATTATTATTTATTTTTCAACCCCTTAAAAAAAAATATATATATATATATATATATATATAATTATTTGTAAGGTATTTTTTTCAAATGATTGAGTTGCGAATCTTAATTAAAATTTTGGAAATAAATAAATATATATTTTACTGTGACGCTTAAGTAAATGAGGGGTATACGAATGAACCGAGACCACATCGAAACAAGAGCGATTCTGAGAATAGGATAACTAAGAAATGCTTAAATATCAATACAAGCAATGTACACTTTCCATTTCAGTGACTTGATCGTAAGAACTCCAAAGCTCAGTGTTGGTCGGTGACTATGAAGAATACCAGGGCCACCAGATGTCGAATTCAACTTTCGAATCCTAGGCATGAGTCGTTATATTTACAAAAAGTTACCCGAACACTCAATTTCTTAAGATTTGCATGAAGTGACAATGGTTCGAAAACTAATTTAATAAATAAATAAAAAATGAATAAATATGTTACCGTTAATTAGCTGGCAAATTACGTCACCACATTAAAATTTAAAAAATAAGCTTATTTAGGAAGATAAATAATAAAATTTATGGTAAGAGGTTTAATTTAGTGTATATTTCTTTCTTACCCCTCTTGGAATCCAATAATTGGGTCTCTTTGTGGGGTTCTTTTAGTAATTTAGGCAATATTCTCTTGAATATTATCTAAAATTAGTATTACTTGGTTACAGATGAAAAATATTTGAAGATTAATATTTATTGTGTTGTTTTACCCAAATGTATTGATATTTTGTTACCCTAAGTTTTTAATATAGGTATGGTACATAAATTTAGTCCTAAGTTTAGCAAATATTCTTTTTGTTACTGTCCAAATCAAATATTCAAATTCAATAATGTCACTATAAATACCTTACTTTTAATAGATTTTAATATAATCTCTCACACGCTGGTCACAACTATATTCTTGCAGTGGTGGGATAACAATCGTGCCACATTTGTTTTAATCCAACAAATAAGTCAGTTGTATGGAAGTTTGAGTCTCGGGTCATGTTTTAGAGAAATGTTTTAGAAAACGTGAGTGGAGAAATCTATTGAAAGTAATTTTAAAGAAAGTAATATTATAAACTAGAAGCGAATAAGCAACAACGAGTTTGATAACATATAACCGCGTAGGAAGAATTGACCACTAGTAATATATCTTTATAGTACATTTTGGGGCATTTTAGTTCTAGTGGTGAGTGTAGACATGATTTTGGTGACTGATCATATATCCCGTGTTGATACAACAATAATAGTAAAAGTCTATTAACATAAAAGCAAGTAAAAGAAGTTTAGAATGGGCATGCGACCTTGGACAAGCATGACTGTGACATCCGATATGCAGGCACATGCAATACGCCCATACAAAACTGTTGGCATTTCACCTGGAAATGACCATTAGGTTCCATAGTTGCTACTCATTGTAGTTGACCACCACACTGATCACTAACAATGATCAATTGGTCATAGTGTTTTCTTAGGTAATTTTTTTTTTCCATGTTTTTGTACATAGAACAAATCAAACCGCGCTTAGGTATAAAAATACTTTTGAGAAAATGTAACCAAAACATATAATTTTTTAAAAATTTATACCATTTTTATATTTTTAAAAAATACATTTATGAAATATACTATTTTACAGGTAGCCGAAGTAAACGGACGCTCAGAGTAGAATGATCTAATCGCGCTCGGATTGATTTAATAAAAGAAAATTTAAAATAAAAAAGAAAAAGAAAATAGGGTTTACTAATTGAATTGCGACTTTGATACCAAACAATAAATAAATAAATAATAATAATAATAAAATTATTATTATTATTATTATTTGTATTTATTTATGAACTGAGATTTGACAAATTAAAAGATTGATTTGATCGATCAGTTTAATCGTGCAAAATGGAGCGAAGAATCTTTGTTTAAATGAAAAACGAGTAGAGAGTATAAAAAGATTTCTTGTTATATAAATCATGCAGAATGGAGCGAAGAATCTCTATTTAAATGATGAAGAACAAGTAGAGAATATAAAAACTATGGATTTAATAAATAAATATTTTGCCTATTATTTTCTTTTATTTTTTTATTATTATGATGATTATTATTATTATTATTTTGCAAATGAGCCTAATAGATATTATCCACTTTAGTTCATTATGTATCGTCGTTGACCTCATGATTTTGTTCCCCTCTCCAACTATTGTAGGATCTCACAATCACTCCTCTTGGGACCAGCCAACCCTCCAACCCTCCTCTCTCCAACTATTGTAGAATCTCACAATCGCTCCAGTTAGTGTCCTATCTCACACGTGTCTATGATACTATTTGTAACAACCAAATTCACCGCTAGCAGATATTGTCTGCATTGGCCTATTACATATCGTTATCGATCTCATGGTTTTAAAACGCGTTTGCTAGAAAAAAGTTTCCACACCCTTATAAGGTTTCGTTTTCCTCTCCAATCGATGTAAAATCTCACCAAATGTCAAAACATGAAGTTTATTGTTACTTAAAGATTATATCTAAAATTTTGAGACTATAATGGTGAGAATAAAGAATGAAATTGTTAGATAAACACGACTCTCCGCAATAGTATGATTCTGTCCACCTCACTCCAATGGAGATAGTATTCTTTGATTATAAACCATCATTCCCTAAATTAGCCAACGTGGGACCTTCCTCCAACAGAAATAACCCCCATCTCCGGGCTTTGTAGCTTGAATCTTAGTTTTAAGTTCGACCCCTATAATTTTGGATTAACAAAAGTTTCAATTTGATCCTTATGATTTCAAAGATTTCACTAACAACTTTCTCCGAGTACCCTAAGTTACTTTTTTAATATTATTTTTATAACCAAGGACGGAACTTTTCTCCCTACCCATAGGACATTTGCACTTGCCCGAAGACTCAGATCCGAAAATCATCGAGTTTTTGGTATTAAGCTAAACCTCTCACCTCTAAGCCGGTATGACCAAGAGACCCCAAGCCAATGTAAACAAGGCCGCCACTAATCGATAACAATGTCTTAAGGCTTAGAATAGAACTCAAACATAATCCCGAAATACGCGACTAAAGTGAAACTTTTAAAACTAAAGGGACCAAATCGAAATATTTAGAAGTTACTCGAGAAATCGAAATATTTCATCTCCTTCAATAAATAAATAAACAATGATTCCGAACCCCAACTCACTCTCCTATAACTTATTTACAAGAACAAGAGCAGATTGTAAGCTAGAAATTACAAAGCAGGAAAAAAAAAATGAAGAAATTCTCAAGAACAGCATACAAAAAATGAAGAACATTCATTGAATTCAAATATATAGAATCAAAAAGAACATCATCAGATCAGAGAAGACTGACAGAGTTTCCATGGAAGTGTGAGCTCATGAAGTTGAAGAAGCAACAGCAATTGCTTTACCATTTTCATGCCTCAGGCTGTTTTCTCTGCTGTAAGCTGACTTTGCACCCTGAAAAGTTAGCAATACATGGGTTAATCAACGTGCACGTAATAACGAAACCGAGTCGGTCTCAAATGGAAGACTTTCTTATGGCTTGTTCTTACTTGGAATACCGCTCCTAACTTCTTCAGGGCTCTGGCTCGTAGCTTCAGTACGTCTTTCGACACGCTGGGGTCTCTAATAACCTGATACAGAAAAGAGAGTTCTGGTGAATCGACATGACTCCAAAGTTTATGTCATGTCATGTTAAGGCGTAAACAAGGACGGACTACTCGTTTTCTTATAAAACGAACTGGGAGTTCATTTACGTCGTGTTTATTTTCGTGGCTATCTTGCTCATCTCTTCCTTTTTTCAGGGAGGGGGGTGTTGAGATGAGGACGGGAACTAGTTTCTACTTTCAATAAAATGTGAGAATACTAAGGTCGATGATTTTCCAATCTACATAAGAGCTCGGGTGACTGGTGAACGATGATTTCCTAGTTAAGACGAGAATAGAAACTAGTTTCTACTTTCTATATATGTTTTCCAATCTACGTAAGAGCTCAGGTGATCGGTAAACGACAGTTTCCTAGTTAAGACGAGAACGGGAACTAGTTTCTACTTTCTATATATGTGAGGATATTTTCCAATCTATGTAAGTGCTCGGGTGATCGGTAAACGATGATTTCCTAGTTCTTGTTTAATCCTGACTTTAACAGTCCTGGCCTGGGCAATGGTAGTTTATCTTAAGAGAAAGTATGATATTGTGACTTACTACAGAGCAGACACGTGACAGAGTAGATTCGATGTCGACCACATTAATCTGCCAAAGTGAGTTGAGAACAGCATCTTTCTTCTCTTCAATGGCTTTTGCCAGGTTCTCGTCTCGGTTATCTCCTTCGTTCAGCCGCTTCAACTCTTCCTGTAATTGAATCAAAGAAACAGCACCTAAACAAAAGTGCAATGGTTAGGATCGAAATCGAATGTTCGAAAGCTTTATAAACAAGAGAGAAGATTACCTGAAGCTGCCATCACTTGTGATTTTATTTGGTGTCCTTTATCTCGAACCCACTCGGCTAAAAACGGAACTTTCATATAACGTCTGTCCCTCCCAAGTTCCTTCGCAGCTTTCCTTGTGTATATGTATCCAATGGTGTGCAGCATGGTCTCACCAAAAGCTGATTGCAAATAGCTTGTGGGTAATTTGTAGCTTAAAACGCTAGCAGATATTGTCTTCTTTCGGCTTTCCCTTCTGAGCTTCCCTCAAAGTTATAAAATGCGTATGCTAGGGAGATGTTTTCTTACTTTTATAAGAAATGTTCCATTCCCCTCTCCAACCGATGTGGGATCTCAAAATCCATCCCTCTTGGGGCCCAGCGTCCTCGCTAACACACCGTCTTGGTGTCTGGCTCTGATACCATTTGTAACAGCCTAAGCCCACAGCTAGCAAATATTGTTCTCTTTGGGTTTTCCCTTCTAGGCTTTCCCTCAAGGTTTTAAAACGCGTCTACTAGGGAGATGTTTCCACACCTTTATAAGAAACATTTCGTTCCCCTCTCCAACCGATGTGGGATCTCACAATCCACCCCTCTTGGGGCCCAGCGTCCACGCTAACACACCGTTTTGGTGTTTGGCTCTGATACCATTTATAACAGCCTAAGCCCACGGCTAGCAGATATTGTTTTCTTTAGGCTTCCCCTCAAGGTTTTAAAACGCGTCTACTAGAGAGAGGTTTCCACTCTCTTATAAGAAATGTTTCGTTCCACTCTCCAACCGACGTGGGATCTCACAAAAAGGAATATAATGAATTTGTTCCCCAAGCATTATAGACCTTGCCTGAACTAGAACGTTTTTATAGAGAAACATATATAATGGTTATACATACCAGCGTTGGAGAGTCGTCGTGCTTCTGAACTTGCCCATGTCACAAACTCATCAACCCGACCATCAACATATGGTTGCAGGCGGTCTTTCAAAATGTTTGCAAGCTTTTCTTCCCTTTCCTTTTGAAATATCTACACTTTTTACGAGTATGAGTAAATTCCATGGCAAGAGTCGGCTTTTATATCTGCATCATTGAAGGAAAAGAAGCATACCTTAAGCTTTTCCTGAATTTTTTGCTTGCGTATCTCGGGGTCTTGTGAATCTTCCTCAATCTCGAAAGTCGATAGAACAGCCAAAGCAAGCTGACCAACATACTCTTCAAAGAACTCACTTCCGAACAGCATACCGAACACAGCTGCAGGGTCTACCATGGTGTCCCTAAAAAAACACGGGGAAAAAGATCAGAGCCGCTAGCATCACTTGCGACGAATAAAACTTAAAGACTAGAATTGTTTCTTCTGTAAGTAATTAACAATACACGGTTGCATATTTAAGTCATCTGCAAAGGATTCTACCCATCACTCAGTAGATATTACGTCACAAGACAACCCTTGAGACTTATCCATCACAAGGGCTTAGACAACGACACGTGTCTTTGGGGGCCTGGTCAACAAAAAGCAACATTGCTATGAACGCTTGGCTGCCACAAGCTAGTTATCCTGTGGTAACTTTTCTAACACCTCTAGCGTCAAATTCCGAAGGTCTAAAGGATCGATAGTTCATCACTTAAGCTTTTAGGTTTATCCGTAGTTTAATATGGTATTAGAGCCGAATGCCTTGTATTCAAATCTTTGAAATTTTATTTTCTCATCTCAATTTATGTCGATAGTCACTAAGTCCCGTTCTAGTTTTCAAACCTATAGTTAAGGGAGCATGTTAACCTATTAGTTTAAACTTTCTATCTTAGTTAAAGAAACATACTGTTGTACTCCTGCCTTCCCATACTTGTCGTACGCTTCACGCTTCTCGGGATCGCCCAATACCTGATAAGCCTCTCCCAGTACCTTCACAAGGACAAAAACAAGCAATTGCATAACGAATCGCATATCCGGCTTGCTGTTTGGCAATAAAACTAACAGACTAAACAGGGTTAGGAACTTCAGTTCACCTGAAAATTTTCCGCGGCTTTCGGATCTCCTTGATTTTTATCTGGATGAACTAGCCTTGCCTGAAAAATAGACATCAAGATTATGAAATGTCCCACTCCCAACACTAACAAAGTTCCCACCCTAAGGTACCCGTGCCAAGACTCGGGATGTCGTCAAGGCTCTCAAAGACTAGCCGGGTGGACCAAGAATGATGCAAAGAATGAACCATTACAGAAAAATAAACCATCAACAAAGCTTCTTATCCAGATCATAATATGAAATGCAGCTAAGAATCTAAGACTAAGAGGCAACTTAACAGAACAATGAAAGTCTAATGAAATTCATTGATCATCATCATAGCCATGGATAAATCACCTTAACGTAGTATGCCTTCTTAATTTCTGCAGAGGAGGCATCGAATTTGACACCCAATACATCATAATAACCAGTCTCCTTCACCATATCTTTTGAATCTCTATGCCTTTCAACGAAATAGACCAAATTAGTCACATGGGTGAAGAATAAACAATCTATATAAGATCTGAAATGGGAAAGAAAGATCAAACCTAACCAAATAGAAATAAATGAAGAACAATCATTAATAATTATGATCATAATCAACAAGAACAAGGGCATCCAAGACATCAGAACGAAATCAAACGAAAAAGGGAAATAGAGGCCACTTACGAGGTATTGATGGAATCCGATCCGGCGACCTGAAATTGAGAAACAAATGATAGAGATGAGGAAAAAGAGAAAAGGGTTTGAAGGAGGAGATGTGAAGTAGCGGAAAAACACGGCGGCGATTCGGATTACAGCGACGGAGGAAGAATCGGAGAAGATGCCCTGCCAACGAAGCTACGGATGGGGACGGTGGGAAAGTGGGAAATCGGCTGAAACGCGTCGGAATCCTCTTAAACGGGGAATAATTTGGAGTAAAACTTGCTTAATTGAGATGAATTGATGGGTTTTTTACGTGGTTCCTAGGAATTCGTTGGCTTTCCGACACGATTTTTGTCTCGGTGAGTATGTTCCGACGTGTCGTTCATCCTCGAGTTTCCTCCTTCCTCCAAGTGTCGTCTCGTGAAAATTTCTCACCGTTCAATTCATTCATTACCAAATTTAATAATTTGTTTATATATTATAAATAATTTATTAATTACTTTGAAATATGTTCAGACTAAAAAAATATATTTATTTACGATACAATAATATATATACATAAATTAATAAATTAATAACTTGAATAATTTGTTTATATATTTACTATTTTAGTAGGCTATTAATTTATTAAGTTGATCTGAATGAATAACTGAATTTATCGTTAATTTTAAAAAATATATTTATTTACTATACAACTATATAAACATATATTTATCACATTTATATTTAATTTCATAATTTTTTTTATAAATTATTCTTTAACCACTAATAAAAATATTTTTTAATTATTTGAGAGGAATTTTAAATAAATATTAAAATTGAGCTATAAATTTTAATTAAATATTTAATATGTAAATAAATATTTTATAAATATTTTCTGTCGTGCATATCATCTGCTAGTTGCATTTAGTTACTTTGTTATTGGTTAGTAGATGACTAGAATTCACTCTGTTGTTACCGTCTCTCTGGTTTAATCATTTGACAGAAGGCTTTCTATAGCCTCTGATGTATTCTCAAAAGAGAATTACCTTTTTCTCTTAAACTTTTAGAGCTGGTTGAGGCTACGAGGAAGGTTTCGTTCCCTTCTCCGATCGATGTGGGATCTCACAATCTATCCTTTAAGGGCCTAGCGTCCTCGCTGGTACACCGAGGAAGACTTTGTTCCCTTCTCTAATCGATGTGGGATCTCACAATCTACCCCTTAAGGGCCTAGCGTCCTCGCTGGCACACCACACGGGACCTTGCTCTAATACCATTTGTAATAGCACAAGCCCACTAATATTAGATATTGTCTGCTTTGGTCTATTGTATATTGTTGTTAGCTTCACAGTTTTAAAACGCGTCTACTAGGGAGAGGTTTTCACACTCTTATAAGGAATGTATCATTCCCTTCTCCAACCGATGTGAGACCTCACAATCCACCCTTCTTGAAGGCCTAGTGTACCACATGGAACCTGGCTCTGATACCATTTGTAATAGTCCAAGCCCACTAATAGCAGATATTGTTCGCTTTTGCCCGTTACAAATTGTCGTCAGCCTCACGATTCTAAAACGCGTCTACTAGGGAGAAGTTTCCACACCCTTATAAGGAATGCTTCATTCTCTCCTCCAACCGAAGTAGGATCTCACAATCCATCCCCTTGAGGGCCTAGCATCCTCACGGGCATACCGCACAAAACTTAGCTCTAATACCATTTGTAACAGCCCAAGCCCACTAGTTATTGCCCGCTTTTGCCCGTTATACACCACCGTCAGCCTCATGATTTTAAGACGAGTCTACTAAGGAGAGGTTTCCACACTCTTCTAAGGAACTATTTATTTCCCTCTCTAATCGATGTGGGATCTAACAGACCTTCTTGACGAAGTAGAGCGAAAGAAACTGAGAAGGTTTTTTTTAGAACTATTCCATTTGAAACTGACAAATCTGCTATGTAGAAATTTGATATGGCGATACCAATCAAAGTGAGCATTGTTTGCTCTAATGTCTTGAGCTTCTTGGTTAGTGATTGTGGGAGCTATGGTTGGGAAGTGGCATCATAATTAAGGCAAACCTTATGGATTGATGGGGCAATCCATGAATAATTGATTACTGTCAACTGTTCGCTCTAAAGCCTTTGCTCTTGTTTGAGAATGTAACGGCCCAAGCCCATTGCTAACAGATATTATTTTCTTTAGGCTTTTCCTTACGGGCTTTCCTTCAGGATTTTAAAACGCTCTACTAGGGAAAGGTTTTCACACCCTTGTAAAGTATGTTTTGTTCTCCTCTCCAACCGATGTGGGATCTCACAATCCACCCTCTTCGGAGTCCAACGTCCTCGCTGGCACTCATTCCTTCTTCAATTGGTGTGGGACTCCCTAACCCACCCCCCCTTTAGCACTCAGCCTTCTCGCTGACACATCACTCAGTGTCTGGCTCTAATACCATTTACAAAAATCCAAGCTCACCGTTAGCAAATATTATTCTCTTTGAGCTTTTCCTTCCAGACTTCCCCTCAAGGTTTTAAAACGCGTCTACTAGGGAGAGGTTTCCACATCTTTATAAAAAAATGATTCGTTTTCCTCTCCAACCAATGTGGGATCTCACAATCCACCCCCCTTCCAAGCCCAGTATCGTTACTGGCACACCGTCTCGTGTCCACCCCCCTTTCGGACTCAACCTCCTCGCTAGCACATCGCTCGGTGTCTGGCTCTGATACCACTTGAACAGTCCAAGCCCACTGCAAACAAATATAGTTCTCTTCGAGTTTTTCCTTCCGGGTTTTACTTCAAGTTTTTTAGAACGCGTTTAATAGATAGAGGTTTTCACACCCTTATAAAGAATATTCCGTTCTCTTCTCCAACCGATGTGAGATCTCACAGAAAATTACAAGAACACTATTGAACCTAGTGACTGACGACTTTATGCAACTATTTACAACCATGTCATTTCCTTTCTAGCTTATACTTCATGGTACTTTGCAGACACTCCGTTGATTCCATGCTAGATTGTGATTCAAAGTTTACTATTGAATCTAGTGCTTGATTACTTTATGCAACTAGTTCATCTTTCTCATATGCACATGCTCGAACCTCCAAAACACCACTGAATCTAGTGGCTGATTGCTTTCGCTCGTAGCACGCGCTTCAGTTGACCATGATCTGTGGATCTATTCCTTATGATCTTGTATCTATACATCTAGAATCCAACTTTTCTTTATTCTAAGAGGAATTTACTTCAAGATCTCTAGTTGCCATTGAAAGCATAACTTGTAGGACAAGTATTGAATCTTTCCTATTCTTGCAGGCTACTTTGATGCAGACATAAGGGCACTGCTACCCTCAGATGCTCACATGACAAGCCATGGATTATGGACAAAGGTTTCTTTACAGCCCAAAGTTTTGGTTTTGGAGATTCCCCCTCAAAACCATTGCACTACAGAGCATATGTTCTTTTAAAATCTTTACAAAAGACTTGTTTATCACTATCTCTACAAAGAGTGACCCACTTACTTGTGTCTTGTAGGTTCATGTACTAAAAGCATCATTTTTAAAGGTAACCCCATGACTAGTTTTTGTTTCCGAAAAGGTTTCGAACACTGTCGTGAGTTGCGAAAATTGAGGTCGTATGACTTACTCTATGTATAGTCGAGGTCTACTGCTAGTAGATATTGTCTGGTTTAGCTCGTTATGTGTCATTGTCAGTCTCACGGTTTTAAAACGTGTCTACTAGGAAGAGGTTTCCACGTCCTTAGAAGGAAACATGTCTACTAGAGAGAGGTTTCCACGCCCTTATAAGGAATGCTTCGTTTTTTCTCTCTAACTGATGTGGATTCTCACAATCCACCCCCTTGGGGACCTAGCATTCTCGCTGGCACACCACCTGGTGTCTGGCTCTGATATCATTTGTAACAACTCAAATCTACTGCTAGTAGATATTGTCTACTTTGTCCCGTTACGTATTGTCGTCAGCCTCTAAATGTGTCTATTAGTGAGAGGTTTCTACACCCTTATAAGATATGTTTCGTTCCCCTTTCCAACCAATGTGGGATCTCACAATCCACCCTCTTTGAGGACCCAGCGTCCTCACTAGCACACCACCTAGTGTCCGATTCTTAATACCATTTGTAATAGCAAATTCATCCTCCTTGGGGACCTAGAATCCTCGTTGGCACACCGCCTAGTGTCTGGCTCTAATACCATTTGTAACAACTCAAATCCACCACTAGCAGATATTGTCTACTTTTGCCCATTACGTATCGTCGTCAGTCTCTAAACGGATCTGTTAGGGAGAGGTTTCCACACCCTTATAAGATATGTTTTGTTCCTCTTTCCAACCAATGTGGGATCTCACAATCCACCCTCCTTGGGGACCCAGCGTTCTCACTGGCACACCACCTAGTGTCTAACTCTTATACCATTTGTAATAGCAAGTCCATCCTCCTTGGGTGCCCAACGTTCTCACTGTCACACAGCCTGATGTTTGGCTTTGATACTATTTGTAACAGCCCAAATCCACCGCTAGTAGATAGCGTCTACTTTTGTCCATTACGTATCGCCATCAGCCTCTAAACACGTCTATTAAGGAGAGATTTTCACACCCCTAAAAGAACCGTTTCGTTCTCCTCTCCAACTGAAGTGGGATCTCACTCTCTACCTATCTCGATTTGATTAGCATAATGATATGGTTCATAGATTCACAAATGCTCGAATTGTTCGAAATCATTTCAGATTAGACTAGTAAAATAAGCCTAACGATTAAACTAATCAACTTTTTTTTTTCTTCTTTCGTTAACTTTATGAAATCTTACTTTTAATACAAAGGCTGAGAAAAGAAAACTCCTTCAACTTCTAAGCAACACCATCAGTAATGCCCATATGACTTCATTTGTCCCATTAAAATATCTCAAATGACAAGATTGTTGGTCCCAATACACATGATGAAGCCATTAAGAAGAGAGCATGGCCAACCACATGCCTCTCACCATTGTTGAACCATATTCTGATACCCAAAACCGATGAAGTTGGTAGCAGACCAAGCTTTTGTTCCTCCAAAATGGGTATCACATCAAAAGGGAAAGCTAAAAAATGGGTAAACAAAGAAGGTTTGGTTTTGGATTTGGCATGCTCTATGCTTACTCTTTTATGTTATGGGCAAACTGTTTGAAATTTGTTGCTTTATTTTTTTTGAAAGTGGACCTGAGATTAGAAACCACCATGCCTAACTTGCTGTACATCTCACCAATGGATATCAATCAACTTCCCCCTTTTTAACTTCATTAGCTTCAGTCAAAATCCAAATTGAGAACCCTTTTGTTTGTATTGATTTTGAAGAGTAAAGGCTGTAAAGTGATACTTCATTGGAATTTGGATCTAATTTTGTAATTCTAGAAGCTTCATCGTTTTACGATAGAGTGTTGTGAGATCCCACCTCGGTTGTAGAGGGAAACAAAGCATT